ATATCATGGGGGGATGGTTGTTTCTGAACTACTGCTGTAATATTTTATATATTTATGTCTATGGGGAAAATGTAGTTTGAGTTCCACTAATTTACAAATGAACTTTTCAGACATGACTCGGCTTTAATTAAGCTGAGGACTGCCTGAAATAGCTTTTGTTAGAAGGGGTGCAGATGTGAAATCAGGTGTTTACTTGGGCTTGGGACAGATGTGACCTTAATTCAATCACAGATGTGAATGAAAAGGATACCAGGAGAATGGGAGGTCCTTGAGGACCAGAACAGCTCCATTTTTGTCTTGTTAGGTGCTAAATTGAATTGAAAGGTACTCTGGAGTTGGATTTTCTTTCTCTATGTACAGTGTTAGTGTGTTGTTCCCTCACAGACTGCCCGACCCGCTGGTATCTACATTCTGATGACATTCTGTATTTTAACTAACAGGTTTTCAGGAGGCCTGACGTCAGGGTAAGGATACATTTGCCTTTCAGCAGATCGGCCTCCTGCCTGTTTGTCTTTTGTGCTTTATTGAAAATTTAAGTCTGTTTAGTGTTTTTTACATAATGAACAGTTTTATGAGTTAATCAGATCAATCTGCTCTGCTGTCTTAGCTTTAAATGTTGCAATAGAAATGCTTTGTTTGTTACAATGTTTCATGTGCTAATAAACGCCAGTATATGTAAAGTCATATATTTAAGTTTTTAAGACATGTGCTATTTGCTGATTATTATTATATGAATTCTGACCAAATGGGTGTGCATGCTTAGGACTGCAGAGTACTGTATTATTATTTTTTATTGTATCATACTTGTTATAGAACTGAGCTACAGAAAAAAGGATTAAGTTGGCTTTGTAGCTGATTTCAGTGAAGGTTTAATTTGGGCTAATACATGTCAAATCATTAGATTCATTTGACACTGATTTTGAGGGTAATTTTAACATCCTCAATCTTACCTAGTACTTTGGGGGAAATATCAATTAGTAGGGAATATCTTTAGTAGTGAATATAATTAGTAGAGTATGTTTTGTTTTTTCCATCCTTTTCCTGCCCCTTCCCTTCAGAATGCCTATAAAACAGGAACAAGATTGGTAATGTGCATGCATTTTCTTATTATTTTAAAGTTGTTTACATTTAACAATGGAGAGGAAGAGAAACGTAAAATTTAGCAACAGTAGTTTAAAGTTAATCCCCTTTCCACTCAAAATTATCTGGATTCGGGTAATGTAACCATTTTAATGATGGAGTGTTTTCAACTTGTATAGGGAGGTGAAGTAAGAACTTAAAATTTAACATTTCAAGTTCTTATTACTCTAATTGGTTTTTCATGATTTCTCTTTTTCCCCACTAGCAAAAATGCCTTTCAGTTAGTGAGAATGTTTACTTTTTCTTTTATTGATACATATTGTTATGATACAAGATTTTATTTGGTCTTTATAATTGCATGGACTTTGAAGTGCTGCTGTGTTTTGGGGGTAAGGGGGGATGTGTTTGTGCATATATTTTCCTCTGAAGAAACGTCATTAAAAGAGAGTTCTACTTTGCTTCTTTATTTTAAAGGATGTAAATTTAAAGCTTTTGACTAAATGGAAATATGTTGTACAACTTTGAATGGTTTTGGTTTGTCTCTCGTACTAAATTCAAACTAATGACAAAGGGTGAAAATATGTCAGAGTTGTCATGATATAGGCTGGTATGGCTTAAAGCTTGGAAATACGAAATCCGTCTAATACTTAACAACTCCTTTGGGGTAATCAGTTTTTTTAGATGCACAATTTTGATAGTGAAAGCAAGTTTTCTTTTATAGTAGAAAGAACTGCCTTTTTTTTTTTTTTTAAAGTTCTTTGACCTCATAGAATTGACATCACTTTTAAAGGGATTATAAACTTACATTTTTCATACTGTCTGTTTAATTAAAGAGTTGATCTGTGAAGAGATCATATTGGGAATGTAAGCTATTCATAAAGCAATTGGAAAGAGTTACCAAAGAAAAGTAAATTAGACCTTTTAATCATTCCTTTGAGATATACTGTTATCATGACTAGAAATATTTAATATGGAATTAATGTAAAATGCAGTATTTAATGTATTTTCAAAAAAACTTCTGCAGTGTACACAATATATAATCAGGTAAGTGGCGTATATATACATCTTCTGCAAAGTTTGCTGCTGCCAGCAGAGCTGCGTGCCTGTGCAAATAGGCAATACTTTAAGTATACTTTGTTCTTTAAAAACACAAATTTCTTTGGATTCCTTTTATATTTTTTTTGCATGACTTTCCTCTTTACATAGCTTTCATAGCATGCTGTTACCTATTTTTGAGTATATTATGTGCCCATTACTTTGCATTTTCTTTATTCTGTAATTATGTGATTTTTTTTTTAGAGCATATTCTTTGTCATTTGAAAACCATAAAAAAAAAGAGAAAAGAAAACCATAGTGTAGGTTTGTCTTTTTCTTTTACCCTCCTCCAGTAAAGAATAGTTATTCCATTTTAGACAGATGTTACAAAGTATGTCCATCAAACTGGGTCTTTGACTCCAAGGGGAAAAAAAAAATTTGTTGTGCGTTACAACGCTGTGAAAGGTGCTGAGTTTTACACTCATACTGTCTCTTTTGGGGGAAAAAAATTCTGTCCTTTCACCTGTTTGCACGTGTTTCTCTCTTTTCCTCTTCTGCATTCTTGTCCATGCACCTGATGCTCAGCAGGAGGTTCAGGACGGACACAGTGGCTATCATTCTGAAGCTGGAGCTGATCAGGTGGCAAATTTGATTTGTTTGTTGTGTAGCTACTGATCCTGTGCTTAGAAACCATTTTAATTTCAATTTCTGGAAGGGCAAAACTTGCAAAACCATTGTGCCATATACTTACTCCCTCCTTTCATTTCTAAGTTCAGTAGAACCCCATTATAAACACAACCAATCCAGATGTGTCTTAAGATTTTTCACTGGAAACTTCCACGGTTCCTCAGTTTAATAATAATACATACTTATAACAATGACCTTTGGGTTCTTCAAAATCCTGAAGTGCCTCGTGAATGATTGAAGAGGTTTAAATTGGGTTCCTTATAGTTTAATATGGGCTGTCTTATTTTTGGAAATCCATATTTGATATTTAGGATATATTTTTTATTAATCAGAATTAATCAGTCCAAAAGTTGAGTGCCTATTATGTAGACGAGGCATGGAGGGATATACAGAAGTCTTATAGGACACAGTCCCTACCCCCAAGGACTTTATATCCTTAATGGGATGAAATAATAGTGACTCATTCAAGAGACTCTATAATTAAATGTTAAATTGGGTAGTAGTTCTATAGTAGTTTCGAGGAGAAAGCAGAACAATGTGTGCTGTGCTATGCTATTCAGGCAACCAAACCTTCATGAAGGAGGTAGAGCTTATGTCAGGCTTTGGATAACAGGTAGGATTTGGCTATGCAGAAAATTCCAGGTAAGGGGGCAGGGACGAAAAGAAGACATGCCTGGCAAGTTTGATTAGCCTGAAAACCCAGTTTTTCTGACCGTGATAAACAACAGAGAGCATGTGGATTTGGGGCCACCCCATGTCAAATCTTGTCCACTGAACCAAAATAATGACATTCATACCTTATAGAACACTTGGCATAAGTTCTCTAAAGGGGTTCCACTGCACTTAGTGTAAGTTTTGTTTATAATCTCCTGTTGCATGTATACTAAAACTTCAATTTTCTAATTGCTCCTTAGTTAAAATCCTAAAGCTAAACTTCTTGGATGTTTAAATTGAACCTTTTATTGGGAGTTATCTTGAAGCATTGTCATTATCTCACTGTTTTATTTAGTTTCAGTTTTGGCAGTATATTTTTCATCATTTTAAAAGTACATCCTAGCTTACTTACTAGTAATGGGATGTTTGCCTTGCCATTTGTCTCACAAACGCACATTCTTATCTTAAGCGTCCCAAATAGATGTGTATGTACTTTTCTAACTAATTTGGGCATAGTAACTTGTAGAAGATCATACCTTGCATATGAGTCCCTGGCCTGTGTCTCTAGAGCAGTCTCTCAGTGGCATATCTCTTAAAAGGATCTGGTGAACTCTACAATTGCCCCAAAAATCACCATCCTTTTCCATCTACTGTATTTCCTCATGGTGTCGTTTTATGTAGCGAAACGGCTTTTAAGCATGTGTCCTGTCAAATTTTGGTGTGACCTGCTGTGTAGTTCAACCTTAAAAGTTATTCATAGCACCCAGAAAGGTTATAGTTCAATAAAACTGAACTCACTTTTGCTCTATAAGCAATACTTGTTAATAAGTGTATTTAAACAAGCATTCCACATTTATTCTTAACACATTTGACACAGTAATATTGAGTGACTTAATTTAGTTTAATAATGTAAAATATTTCAAAGTAGTTTAAAATTAAATATTTGATTAAAATAACTTTATCTGTTACTGGAGTATAAAATCAATTACCAGTTCATGACATCAGTTGCAGAAATCAAAACTTTATTAGCACATGTGTCTAGAGGGAAACTCTGGATATTTCTTGGTTCTCTTGAAAACTAACATGTTGAAAAGTGTTCATAAACGAGCTCATCCTTTTACTATACTTCAAAAATGTGAAATAAATTTTGTAATTACACCTTTTATGTCTACTGACAGTAAGCTGAGAGGAAAGTGGATTCTATGAATTGTTGCCTAAGTACTCCTAGGTATTGAAGGGCTCTACACTTTTGTTAACAGTAGAAACACCTAAGAATTGCCTTTGAGGAAAAGAAGTAAAAACAAGACTGAAAGAAAAATGGGAACTTAGTGAACTGGGATAGTTGAAAAGACTATTTCTAAGCTGTAGATTTTGTTAGAATTTTATAACTTTATCTGCCCGTGCAACAAAGAAACGTTTCTTTTGACTATTGAGCATGGAATTGAGGCTGTAGTTGGCATTTCTTCCCTATGTTTTGTGGGTTTGGAGGGGAACTATCTTGGAGAGTATGAAGTAGTTTAGGTTGCTTTAAAAATGGAACCTTAATGAAATATGTTGAAATCTTTTATGAACTGCTTGGAAACTCCATCAAATTTGTTTTGACTAAACAATTATTTTAAATTTCCCATTTGATGTTACAGAAAAATACATCAATTTTTTAATTTCTGCCCTATCAAATCATGCAGATAACTTCCTTGACTGTCTTATTTATCACAGAGGCAGCATGGAGCATGGCATAGTTGATTAGACAGCCAAGTTTGAAGCAAGGAAGACCTGGGTTCAAATCCTCCCTTTGACACACACACACACACACACACACACACACACACACACACACGTGTGTACATTGTGTGGCCCTAAGGAAGTCATTTCTCTTTGAGTAGTCAGTGAAGATTATAAGTTGCAGAGGAGATGCCAGCTTCCACTGGTAGAGGGAGTTTCCTCACCTGGGGGTTACCCATACTAGTGAAACCACAGGTCCAGTCCCTGTCCCTAGTTATCATTCCTGTCTGCCTGTCTTCAAAGTATTCGTAACTGTGAAGTCTCAACATATTGTAACATGTTATTGAAATAGCCAGTGTAATGTCCTGTGTTTTGATGCTATGCTTTGACAAATAGGATGAGCACTGTTCTGCTTCTGTATGCTCTCAGCAAAATGTAACCTTCCTGTATGACTAGGGAAGACAAGGTTTAATCCTGTTTATTTTTTTTTTCCCTTGCCAGGCTCTGAGAGATGGAAACAAGCTGGCTCAAATGGAGGAGGCACCCCTTTTTCCTGGAGAATCAATCAAAGCTATTGGTAAGCATAGCATTTATTGCATTTCACCAGCATACTTGGTCCTAGACAGCCATAAAATGAAGTAGCACTTTACTGACGTGCATGGATGACACTGTTTTGTGGGATGGACTTGAAGATCAGACAGGCTTATTTCGTGATGTTTTATAAAATAAACTAAATTACCAGTAGTGTTGTTATTATGGCCATTGTGCATAGTGTTCTATGATGTCTCTTCTCTCAACACTCACCTCCTGCTCTTAGACCTAAGGATCTCCTCTTGGGCTTTATTGAGAAAATAGAAACCATTTACTAGGAGCTCCCTCTTCTTGCCTTATCATAACCCTGTGCCTCAGTTTACTCACCTGTAAATAAAGGGATTTGATGCAATGACCTCTAGGGTCCTTTCCAGCTGTAGATATAAGATCCTAGGAAATTGCTGTCTTATTCATAGAGACATTCAGTAAACATCTCTTACGTGTCTACTAAGTGTCAGATACTTTGCTAAGTGCTAGGGATGCACAGATAGGCAAAAGATAGTCCTGGCCTTCAAGGAGCTCAAAGTCTAGTAGGGGAGACAAATTGCAAACAAACAGGACACAGGATAAATGGGAAATAATCAACAGAGGGAAAGCACTAGAATTAAGAGGGATTAGGAAAAGCTTTCTGTACAAGGTGGGATTTTAGCTAGGGCTTGAAGGAAGCCAGAAGATGGAGATGAGAAGGGAGAGCATTCCACGCATGAGGAACACTCGGTGAAAATGGCCAGAGTTGAGAGATGGAGTGTCTTGTTTGAGGAACTTCAAGGAGACCAGTGTTGGTGGATCTAAGAGTACATGGAAGGGACATGGAAGGTGTAGGAAGACTGGAAAAGGGGGGGAGTGGTTATGAAGTGCTTTGAATACCACATAGGATTTCATATTTGATCCTAGAGGTGATAGGGAGCCACTGGAGTTTTGAGTAGGGTGACATGGTCAGATCTCTGCTTTAGGAAAATCACTTTGGCAGCTGAGTGGAGGATGGATTGGAGTGGGGAGAGACTTGTGGCAAGCAGACCAAGCAACAGGCTATTTGAGTAGTCCAGGAGTGAAAAGATGAGGATCTGCACCAGGGTGGTGGCAGTAGCAGAGGAGAGAAGGTGGCATATTTGAGAGATGTTACAAAGGTAAATTCAGTAGGATTTGGCAACAGATTATATGTAGGTAGTGGACCTCCAAGGTCACTTAGTCCAACTTGAAGCATTTTCTTACAAGCCACCACTAGAAGAGTTCCGTTATTGAAGTACATACCGCAACACTACCTGTTGAGGCAACTATTTCCATTATGTTGTGTAATATTATAGAACTATGCATTTTCATAAAGCTAACCATAAATATTGGTTTTGTTGTTCAGGATGGTAAAATTTATTGAAGCATAAATGTCTCCAATGATAGATGCTATATTTTAAGTTTCTTTCTTTTAGTTAAGAATGTCATGTATATCTGTCCATTTATGGGAGCAGTTAGTGGAACACTGACAGTGACTGACTTCAAGATGTACTTCAAAAATGTAGAAAGGGTAAGTTTTAAGAAATGTGTAATTACATTCAAATTTTAAATTCTAGAGAGAAAGGGAAAGTAGCACTGGCTTTAAAATGATTATAAACTTAATCCATAGTTACACTTCTATAAATTAATTTGGGTATATAAGGTGTCATAACTTTTCAGTCACTCCCTCAAAGCCTCCATGAGGGTACTTTGTCCATTCTTTCATCTTCACTTTTACTTGGTCATGGCGTTTAATCGTTTGGATCTACTTTTTTCAGTTTTCATTATTTTGTAAAGGCCTTTCCAGACTTCTTTATATCTTTTATACTAATTAAACTTAGTTGCATTGGATTTCTGTGACGTTAATTAATGAACCCCAGTTTATTTAATGATTTTCCTCTTACTGGTTGTTTAGGTTGCTTCCAAAAGTTTTTTGCCTATTAGTATACAATAAATAATGCTTACCTGAAAATCTTTGAATAGATAACTATTTTTTGTTTCAGTAACATTTCTAGAATATATTCCCAACCATGGAGTATTGGGACAAAGGTTATGATTATGATGCTTTTTTTTTTTTTTGAGACTTAAGTCTCTGTATCTCACCAAGGCTAGAAGTGCATTGGCAACTCACAGGCCGAGTTTCACTACTGATTGGCATGGGAGCTTTAACCTGCTCCATTTCTGATCTGGGCCAGTTCCCCTCTTTAGGCAGCCTGGTATCATCCCCCTGTCCCACCCAGGGGCTCGCCATATTAGTGCTGGAGTTGGTGTAGCCATCTGAACAGTTTAGCCCACTACAGCTCAGAACTACAGAGCTCAAGAGATATACCTATCTACCTATCTCAGCCTCCCCAGTAGCAGGGATTACAAATATGTACTACATTGCCCAGGTAGTATGATTATTACAGGTATATGGGCCTGTTATTCCACCACTTTGCTAAAATTCAGTTTTATTGTAAAATATTTTTGTTAATTTGATGGATACAGAGTACCTAGAAGTTGTCATTTGCATCTCTTCAAGTTTTAATTAATTTTTTTTGAGTGATTATTAGCAATTCATGTTTCCTTCTTAGAACATTGTTCATATCCTTTGACCATATACGCTGTGGCCTGAAAGTTACCCTATGTAAACAATTCCTTTTATTGATAGTTTTATCTGTCGTGTTTGCCATAAATATTTTTCCTAATTGTAATTTTTCCTCTTAACTCTATTACCTATTGCTATGTGAAACTTTATTTTAGTGTAGTAAATACGCTTATCTTGTCCCTAATAATTGCTTCTATTTGTTGACTAGAAAAAAAAGTCATATCCCCTTTTCAGTTGAGACAAGTACATTATTCTTTTTTATAAATTTTGTTTTCATGTTTGTCACCCATCTAGAATTCACTGAAATATGTGAGGTGAGGGGTAGGTCTAAATCCTTTTCCCACCAAATTGCTGTCCAGTTTTCCCATATGCCAGGTTTTTCCCCCCCTATATTTTATTAAACATCAATATTTTGTGTGCTTTTGGTTTGGTGTCTGGTTCTATTTTGTTAATGGATTTGTTTTCATCTAATACTTTAAAAACTACTTGCTATTTTGGTTGGTATTGAATTGAGTATTCAAAGAATTTGAGGAATATAGGCAATTCAATTAGATTATTCTGACCCAGGTGTGGATGTGTTGTTGGAGGGGACTCCCAAATTGATGAGATCACAGATCTGATGTGATAGTTCTGACCCATTTGTGGCCATTGAATGTCTTTCCAGTTATTTCAGTACCTTATTTTGTTCATTATAGTTTTGTAGTTATCCTTATAAAGGTCCTGAGTTTTTGTAGGTAGGTTAATTTTCAAATATTTGACCATTTTTATTGTTACAACAAATGGAATTTACTTTTATGAAGACTACTTGATCTTCATTGCTGATATGTAAGCATACAAATAAATTTCTTTGCAGTAATCTATTTTGAGTCTTTGCCGAAGTCCTTTATTGTTGCCATTTTTTTTGGTTGAAGTGAGATTTTTTTTAGACTATCATGTCATAATGATGCACCACTTTATTTCCAATGTCAATCCTTCTAATATTTTTCTCATTGCAACTGCTAGAATTTCTACTAATTTCAAATAAAATTGGCTAAAATGGGGAGAAATGAGTGCTAAGTCATAGGTATGGCATAATAGTACTCCCTAACTAAGTCAAGGAGAGATGGAAGTAAAAACATCTTTCACTCAGTGGAAATTTTAAGTGGAAAATTCCCTTGACTGACATTGAAATGCATTTATCTTAATTTGGAAACTTTAGGATCCACATTTTATCCTTGATGTTCCCCTTGGAGTGATAAGCAGAGTTGAAAAGATTGGAGTACAGAGTCATGGAGATAACTCTTGTGGCATAGAGATTGTTTGCAAGGTATGATATAATGAAATATTAAGTGAATGAATCCTCTTTATTGTCTTGGGAAGGTGAGAGATACCAGTGGTTTTCATTTACCAATGTTAAATGACATTTCTAAGATTGCTTCACGATTCATATTTTCACAATAACACATTCATCTAAACCTTTTTATTTATTCATTAATAGAGGCCTTGCACAAGTTAGTATTGTCCTATATCCTAAGTCCCAAAAACACGTAGGTCAGGCCTAAAAAAATAAAGGAGTGTGCAGATGAGAACGTTTTTTTTTTCTCTAGAATAAGATCCATCAGCTAGCATTTATTAAGTACCTACTGCGTGTCAGGCACTGTGTTAACTACTGGGGATACAAAGAAAGGCAAAAACTCAAACAGTTCCTGCTCTCAAAGAGTTCCCAGTCTGGAGGAGGAGATAGCATGGGAACAACTACACACCCAAAAAAAGCTACCTAGAGGATAAATTGTCTCAGGGGCAAGGTACTGAGTTAAATTAAGGAGGACTGGGAAAGGCTTTTTGCAGAGGGTGAGATTTGAGTTGAGACTTGGAGGCCAGGAAAACCAAGAGGAGGAGGTGAGGAAGTAGAACATTCCAGGCCTGGAAGGGGGCCAGTGAATGGGAACACAGGAGATGGAGGGTTATATGTAAGAAACAGCAAGGAGCAGAGTACATGGAGTGAGGCAAAGGAAGGATTTTATTTGCAGGGCAGCACTTTATCATAAAAAAGCTTATTTGGAGGATTGATAAGGTATCTCTTAAAAATCCCACAAATAAAAGTATTTTTAAAATTGTGTTTAATATCTTGGCTATTGAATTCTCATTAAGCTACACTTGAGACTTTCACTCTTTGGGTTAAGTAGAAAATTCATGTACTTTTAGTGTCAAAGATTAGTTTGAGAACTATTTATAACTGCTTTTTTTATATTTGTCTAACGAAGTGTGCATTTGGGTGATTACCAGGATATGAGAAACTTACGACTTGCCTATAAACAAGAAGAACAGAGTAAGCTGGGGATATTTGAAAACCTCAACAGATATGCCTTTCCTCTTTCCAATGGTCAAGTAAGTATATCTAAATTAGCAATTTCATACTCTTTTTTTGGTAGGGATTTAGGAATCCAATATTCTAGAATCCTCCAGCCTTACTTTTGCTTGCTTCTTTGATTTTTGACACATAATAAGGTCAGTTTTCTCTTCTGTTACAATACTCGAAATATATCAGTGCTACATTATTTGAGTAAGGTTACCAATTTATTACTTACTATACATTTAAATTTGGAATTTTAGTAAATCCAGCCTTTATCACAATGAACATTTTTAAGACTGGATGTCTGGCAATATGGAAAAACAGAAACATTTGTGTTTTCTTGATTCAGGCTTTATTTGCATTCAACTATAAAGAAAAGTTTCCATCTAATGGCTGGAAAGTTTATGATCCGGTATCCGAATATAAGAGACAGGTAATAAATATAGATACATTTTTAAACTGAAAATAATTGTTTACAGTCTTTTTTTGTGGAAAAATGCTTGTACTTTTTTTGGGAGAAAATATTTTATAAGATGCTATCAACTGTATTCAGGATATGAATATTCAGTTTTAGATGATCTAGTTTCTTAGCTTTGCCTTTTTATGCCCATCTTTTGATATTCCCTACTTGCCACTCCTTTTGCCACAGAGTGAGGGAGATTAAGAAAGACAATTTCAAACTCAAATCTGTTAAAGTTTTTTTGTCATTCAAGGGTTCATAAGTGAAGATACAAACTAAAGACAAATTAAGTTTTTGGATTTTAGCATAGATAATTCAGTCCAGATGCAGAGCCCCTCCACCTTTCCTCACAGTGACTTTCTAAAGTGCTTTCCGTGTATATGTGTGTAAAATAAGTTTATATTTTAAAGGCATACATATGGATATGCATAAAATGTATATAGCTGGTTGCATTTTATTTTCACAACCTTTTGTTCATTCCATCTTATGTTATTAGTTTAACATTTTTTGTGTAGACTAGGAAATGTAGATTTTGGTATAATTTAATTCTGTATGGCTTAGAAATTCCTCATTTAATTAAGATCTTAGGTTGCTTTAAAATGGATTATGTGAATTAAAAATTATTAATAGTATTAAACTTGAAATAATGATGATGAGCAAGATGTTGATAGGTTTACATGGAGAAAAAGAGACTAATATGGTTTGTGTTGAATGCTTCTTGCTTTTTTCCCTAATAACCCCTAGGGTTTACCAAATGAGAGCTGGAAGATATCCAAAATAAACAGTAGCTATGAGCTTTGTGATACATATCCTGCTATTATTGTCGTGCCAACTAGTGTGAAAGATGATGACCTCACCAAGGTAGCAGCATTTAGAGCAAAAGGCCGAGTTCCAGTAAGTAATAAACATAAAGGCTTATTAGCTTATGAATCCATATTCCCTGTGAAAATTGACAAATGTGATTGAATAGTCAAAGGAGTGGATATAGGCAAGTTGTTGAACAAATTAGAAAGTCGGAAAATGAGCTTCAGTTCATTAGCATACCTTTATTTCTTAAGAATTGTTTTATGCTCTACTATAACAATTATAATATGCAACATTATGATGGTTGGTAGCAGCTGTATGTATGAAGGTGACTTTCATTGCTCGCAGATAGGCCGTCCAGAAGGTGATACTTTCAAAATATAATAGAAAAGAGGGAAAATGAGTAATAGGAAAGAGTGAATGTGAATGTTAAAATTTTTTATGGCTGATATTCAAAGGATGATCTTGGAGAAAATACAACATTTTCTTAGCTGCTAAGTAGAGTGCTGCATAAGCATATGATGTAATTGCATGAGAGGGAGACCTTTAACTAAGAAAATGGCAACCAAGAGTGAAGTCTTAGTGAGGTTGTTAGCGCAACCTTTTGGTTTTTCTTAGAGAACATCTAGTCCAACTTGTTTCAAGCTACTCCAGGTTTTTAGTTCTAAGACTTAATGTAACATTGATTTTAACTACTTTTTTACCTTTAGAAAGTATAATATGTGGAGGTTTTATTTTTAAAAGTAAGTTGTAACCCTGCTACATGGGTGACCTTGAGTAAGTTACTTTACCACTCTGGGCCTCGGTTTCTTATAGCTTTTATTGAGGCAGTCAGTCAAGGAGCATTTATTAAGCACCTGTTATGGGCCATGCACTGGGCTAAGGACTGGGGATCCAAAGGAAGGTAAAAGACAGTCCCTGCTGTCAGAGTGCCCACATTCTAATGGGGGAAACAACATGAAAACAATTATATACAAACAAATAAAAGGATAAATTAGAGATAATCAACAGAGGAAAGGCTTCTTGTGCACGGTGGGATTTTAACTTGAAGGAAACCAGGAGATGGAAATGAGGAAGGAGAGTATACCATGCATGTTAAGTTTAAGGTTGATGTCATTGGGAAAAATATGCTGTCCCAAAGCAACTTTCTCCTGTGCCCACCTGATCTCCAGTCCCAGGTGAAAAGAGGAACCAGATATTGCTCTGACTTAGTGCCACATGCAGCAGGAGATGGAAGGCACAATCTGCCTTCTGATCTGCCCAACATGTGGAGAGCCTTTGGTGCAAAGCAGAGCAACGTTCCCTTTGACCTCAGACCTTCTATATCCGGCTACACAGTTGGTGGAGAGCAGGACTTCCATCTCTTACTGTGCTGGTTCATCTTCCATCTCCTGCTGCACTGTCTCCTGCCTAATATCCAGCCTTTGAAAGGAAAAGAGGAATGAAAAGGGGCCCCCCCTTTACATCTCACATTGTGCTTGCCTGCTACCTGCTCTCCATCATCCTTGATGAACAGTCTGGCACCTGGTCATAACCTACACATCCTATCATCTACACCCTCTTCCCCCATCCACCATTTCTTCATTCCTTATTCCCATCCCTACCCACTCCTTTCACTGTGCCCTCTGCAATGTCTGTTCCATGCGCAACAGACTTCCTTTCATCTTAAAGTCTTTTCCTCTCCCACTCCTTTCATCATCTAGCAATCACTGAAATCTAGCACTCCCGCGCCCCCAATGACTTAGCCACCCTTTCCAGTACTGACTACACCTTCTCTCATTGCCTTCAGCTCATTAGTCAAGTTGGAAAAGAGTTGGAATACTCCTTACTCCTCCATTGCTACTTCCAAGTTCTCCTCTCTCCATCACTCAGTAATCTCTCCTCCTCTGAGGTCCATGTTACTCATATCTACCACCCAATCCAAATCCTGGTACTTGTTATCTACAGATCTCCAGGTCACATGTCTTCCAACCTCAGCAAGTTCAGTACCTGGTTTACAATTTTTCTTCCCTCCTCAACTCCTGCCCTCATGATAGGGGACTTTAACATACGTAATGACTCTCCCTCCAACACCCTAACCACTCAGTTCCTCAACTTACTTCCCATGATGTACTCCTCTACCCCACCTTAGCCACACACAAAGATGGTCATATCCTTAATGTTGCCATCACCCACAAATGTACTACCTCCATATTCAAGAATTCTGAAGTCCCCATCTTTTTACCTAAACACAATCTGTTGGCTTTCCACCTCTTCCTCTGCCTTACCTTACCTGCTCTTCTCCACACTATGACTTCCAGTGCTTTGACCCTTCACTTCTCTTCCAGGCCATCTCTCCTACTCTGTCCACTCTCTCTTGTCCCCATCTTGACCTCTTGGTGAATCAATTTAACTTTGCACTGTCCTCCTCTCTTGAGTTCCTAACCCCCTTTTCGTATCCCTGATTACACCCTGCCAAACTTCAGCCTTGGATTATTCCTGCCATTCACTGGCTTCACTCCTGCACATGTACTGCTAAATGTAGGTGGAGAAAAATCACAACCGTTTTGACTGGGTCCACTCCAAATTTATGCTACACAATTTCAACTGGGCCCTCACTGCTGCTTAGACAGCCCTTCTACACCTCCCTTATCAACTCAACTGTCCTACTCTCCGATTCGCCCCTCTGCAAATATCCTGTGGTTCCCTTTCCCGTCACACTCTCGGAGAGCTTTGCCTCATATTTTACACATGCACACACACACGCATACACGCATGTGCACACAATAAATTGAAGGTAGTCTCAGAGGGCAAACAAGATTAAAGAGGAGTTGGAAGGTCCTGTTGTAGGTGAGACTTGAAGAAAGCCAGGGAAGCCAGGAGGTAGAGATGAGGAGGGAGGGAGAGAGAGAGAGTTAGAAATATGGGGGATAGCTAGTGACAAGACTGGAGATGGAATTGGGAGGTGGAATGGTTTGTGCAAGGGAGCAGCAAGGGGGTCATTTTCACTGGATTGCAGAGTCCATGGAAGGGAGGAAGTTACAATTCCTTTTATTACAGTTCTTTATACTGACATGTATCCTTTACAAACAAACTAGGTCTTGTCCTGGATTCATCCTGAGAGTCAGGCAACAATTACTCGATGCAGCCAGCCACTTGTGGGCCCAAATGATAAGCGCTGCAAAGAAGATGAAAAATACTTGCAAACGATAATGGATGCTAATGCCCAGTCACATAAACTTATTATCTTTGATGCCAGACAAAACAGTGTTGCTGATACTAACAAGGTATGTTATTAGAGTTGCTTAAGAAATGTAATTGCAAAGTAAGACTTTTAGAAAAATGTATGCTTTGTAAATGACTGAGCTCTCTCCTACTTAAAGATAGAGCCATTCTTAGGGCACCAAGTACTCTGAGCAGCCAGCAGATTTTGACCCCGTATTTATACTAGTCTCTCATCTGTACTTTTAATGTGATAGAATAAGGCTTCTTTTTTCTTTTTTCCTCTTCACCACTTTGGGAAAGTAGTTCCCTAGGCAGAAATCTGGTCTGTTGTGCTAACTAATTACATGTCTAGAAAGGGTGTGAATGTCCCAAGAATGAAATAATTATTTCATTGAAATGAGCTTGAGGCAATAGCATTTCAAAAAAAAAATAGTGCAACTTTAACCTTCATAGGTTACTTTTCAAAGGATTAACTTATGAAATACAGTGATACCATGATCTTAGAATCCTCTGGGAATGAAGTTCTTTTATAAAGAAGTTACCATATTAAAACAAATCGCTTTCAGAAGTCATGCCAAACGTTGTTGGTGTGCACCACATATGGCAGCATCCTTAGCTGTGTCTACACTCAGCCATAAGACAAATGTGTCTGTATAGCTTCTCTTTGTCTGCGCACAGTCCTAGGTAAGTAAAGCTGATACTCAGTTTATGAAGTCATTGAAGTTTGGCTTTGGCTTCCCAGCTTCTCCTTTCTCATTTTTTTTTTTCCTCAGTTATGCCTTGTGTCCCTTTACCCTACCAATAAGAAAGGATTTGATGCCACTCATTTATCTTTGCTGCTTGACTGATTCCACTTAATTGTAGATGAGTTTCAGACAATGTATTATCTCAATCCACTGCTTCATTTTAAGCATTTTATCTCTAATAGTATGAGGCTTTGTCCCATTAAAGAAATTTCAGACATCAATAAGCAGGTAGAGATTGAGGGGAAAGCTTCTAGGAGTATGAGGATACTCAATCCCATTGTCACCAGCTTATGCTAGAATTTGGAATCTGTCATGTACTTGCACTTACCTGTTTATCACATCCTTTTCTCCAGACTCTCCCCAAATCCCTTTTCTAGCCTCTTCCATCATTTCTTCCTCATTTTGCCTCAGGCTACCAGATATACTTTTTATACTTTTTAGGATATCTTACATTAGTTGGTATTAATTATATTTTTGTACCACCACCCTTCTGAGTCATGTCAAATGAGGCATAAAATGAGGAGATCCATGTTCACCAAAGTGTTTGCGATTGTCATGGATGTTCTTTGCATGGGGTCGAGAGAGAGTGATTCTTCATTGATGGGGAGGTCTTCCAACTGCTCCAATTTGCAGATGATAGGCTTGCTTGGATCAACCTCCGTGTATTTCATACAAGCCTTTCCTTGTACCTGGAATGTATTTGTTCTTTTTCTCCACTTCTCATAATCCTAGTCTTCAAGACTCAACCTCAGATGCCATTTCCTCTCTGAAGTCTTTTTTTGATTACTCCTTTTGATAATGCTTTTTCCCTTCGCAGTTTTCCTTGTACTTTACTTATTTATATAAATGTTGTATCTTCCTAGTCGAATGTAACCTCATTGAGGGTAGAAACTGTTTTATTGCTGTCTTTGTGTCCCTGGTATCTAGTACCTTATGTGACCTCAATGAGAGTTCATGATTACTCAAAGATGAGTTCAACATTCTATACAGGAGAAACTAAACTGATAAAAATACTTATTGTCTACATTATGATGTATAGTTGGAAGAGCAGTTTGATGAATTAACGTCAGTATATTTATAGGAGAAAGGGGCTGCACATGCCCAGTGGATATCTATATTGTTAATGAATTTGACACCCATTTGCTCATAAATCTGAAGAGTGCTTTTTGACAAGCATTTATTAAAAATCTGCTATGTGCAAAGCCCTAGGCTAGGCTGAGTCCAAAGACAAAAATAAAGTAGTTCCTGCCCTAAAGGAGAGTGTAGCATACATGCCAGGAAAATTGAAGTAGGAGAGAGCAATAACTGGAGGGATAAAGGAAAGCTTTTCAGAAGAGTTCATCCCAGCCTAGATCTTCATTGCTATGATCCTCAAGGTCATTCCTCTCTCAAGGAGTTTGGTGGCTGGCTTACAACATCTCAACCTCAATCCCATCCTCATTGTAGTTGTGGCTGCTGAGAAACACATGGGTGCCCACTCCCATCTTTTATATCATAGCCCCAGATATGGTTATAGAGGAAATGTAAATGACACTGAGGATTTCAGGTTCCTAGATCAACAAAATGGAGGACTTCTCAGATCTTTTCAAAATAGGAGTTATGCACAAGAGATAAAGCTATTTGAACTGCCCCCACAGTTTAGGACACCAAGAACCCAAATAATGTAAGAACCACAGTAAGCTAACACAGTAATACTTAACTCCTAGCATGCTCACTCAGCATCTCCTCTTCCACCACCTACCACACTGTGGCAGCAAGGCTGTACAAGCTGACCTGTTGCTTAAAACAGAACTTGGTTCTAGCCCACCCCCATCCAGAGCCCCAAACAGCAGAAATTTCCTCAGGCTCCATCAGCAGTGCACAGCTTAGCAGTGTTCTCTGCCACAACAAAGCTTAGCCAGGGACCTCAGGAAAAGAGAAAAGTGGAGCAGGACGGGTGTATATGATTATGTGGCACTCTACTAAATCTGAGGTAAAGAGCCAACTGCAGGCATTTGTTCCCCTCAGAAGTCACTTGGGCCAGAGACTGGGGCTGATGAATTCTGGATTTGAAGGAGGAAACTGAGATGCCTTTGAGATCCAGTTCACAGGCAAAGTGCCAATCAAAAGGGAGGGAGTCAGAAAATGAACATATGGGAAAATGAGGAGAAAAGACTGAAATTACCAAAGATCCCAGGAGAAAGAAAAGCTCACTTAAAGACCTTGAGCATAAACAGATAAACCAACCAAGATGTTATTAATAACAGAAAGAAATACAGCCTTTAGATCAGGTAAAAGAGTTCAGGCATCTGTGAATAAGTACCCCAAGACAAAGGAAAATGAATCAACACCTGATGAGGCAGTAGACCCTGTGGATTCCCAAGAGAGCATAGAACTCCACCAGGTTGTTTCTGAACAGCTTAAAAAAGAAATAAGAATTGTAAAAGCAGAATTTATGGCCTGCACAACAGAAATAATTGGGAGAATTGAAAAACCTGAATCTATGGTGACAATTTGCAAAAGAAACAAAAGAGATTAGGAACACAAATATGTGAAAATGAAGGGCAGTCTGGAAGAAGAGATGCACAAAGCGGTGACTTTTTTTTATTAACATATATACAATTACTTGTCTTCTGACTTGTTGAAGCAGTAGCTTAGACAACATTTGCCACAATGATGTCTGTCAAAATGGCTAGCCACAAAGACTCCAGCACCACATTGATCAGAAGGGCACTCTCGTCAAAGGCGGCTAATCTTGCCATTCTCATCAACCTTATAGTACTTCAGAACAGCAAGCTTAACCTTCTTTCTCTTATACTTGTTTTTTGGGGGAGTGGTATAAGATTTCTTCTTTCTCTTCTTGGCACCACCACGAAGCCTCAGGACAAGATGAAGGGTAGACGCTTTCTGAATAATGTTGTAGTCAGACAAAGTACATCCATCTTCCAGTTGCTTGTCTGCAAAAATCAAGTCTTTGTTGATTGGAAGGGGGATACCTTCCTTATCTTGTATTTTGGCCGTGACATTTTCAATAGCATCGAACGGTTCGACGTCAAGGGTGATGGTCTTCCCTGTCAAAGTCTTCACGAAAATCTGTATCGTGGCACTGGGCCCACCCATTGATGGTGGATTCAAAAGAGAATAATAATGACACTTTTAAAAAGCATGACCTCCAGGGGCAGCTAGGTGGCAAAGTGGATAGAGCACCGGCCCTGGGTTCATGAGGACCTGAGTTCAACTCTGGCCTCAGACACATAACACTCACTAGCTGTGTGACCCTGGGCAAGTCACTTAACCCCTTTGCCTAAACCAAAAAAGAAAAAAAAAAAAGCATGACCTCCATGCAAGCAAAACGTTGATCTTGAAGATAGGATGTATAGAGACACCTTAAGGATTCTAGGCCTCCCAAAGGAACATAAGTCAAAAAATCTGAGTCCTATAATGCAAGAAATAATATAAGCAAACTGCCCAGAATTTCTGAAGATAGGAAACAGTGCCAGTTGGAAAAAATGCACAGATCGCCTATAAGAAATGGCACTGAAGGGAAAGAAAATGGGAGAAATAGTTGTGCTAGACTGAAGGGAGGTATGTGCTAAGGATATTAATTTATAAGACTAGGCCTCCTTTGCTCTGGTTTACTCAGCTCCTAATACTTTGAATTGGCATATAGTGGATACTTTGTGAATGTTTGGACTGGACTCTTGCAACAGACTTCTTGTTGGTCTCCCTATCTCAAGTCTTTTCCCGACCAGCCTATCTTCTACTCAGTTGCCAAAGTGACTTTCATAAAGCACAGATCTGACCACATCACTCCCCAACTCGATAAACTGCAGTGATGCCTTATTCTCTCCAGAATCAAATATAAAATCCTTTATTTGTTTTTTAAAGCCCTTCACAACCTGCCCCCCCCCCCTTTCTGGTCAACTTATATTTTACTCCACATTCTCTGGGATCCAGCAGCATTGGCATCTTTGCAGTTCCTTGCACCTAACACTCTACCTCTTGACCGTCTGCCCTTTCACTGCCTGTTTGAAATGCCTAAAATATTCTCCCTAGCCACCTCCATCTCCTGGTTTCCCTGGCTATTTCAAAGACTCAGTTCATTTCCCACCTTGGGTTAAGACCCATGTCTACCAGGGTTTCTTCCCTCCCTCTTTCCCATCAACATGGGTTAAGCTAAATTTTCCCTAAAAGGCAACAAAGCCAGGACTTACTTGGGAATAGGGATGGGTCCAAGGTTCAAGCTGTGCCTCTCTTGATGCAGCTTCCTGGTGTCCTTTGAACAGACTGACATGCCTTTCTAGTTGCCTGGAGACATAAAAGATCCCATCCACATGGGCTAGTTGCCCTTCAGATGTGGTGAATGCCTGAAGACCCACCCCCTTCCCTGTTAACCAGACTTGTTTCCATATGGAGTTGAGGGGAGCTATGTGTACCTGAGTTAAATGCTACTTTTGATGCTTGCTTAATTGGGACTTGAGTAAACTTCCTTCTGTTAATTGTTCAGTGACCTATAAGTGTGTCATTTCATCCCCAATATTGAACTTGAAGGGTGCTGGTGATAAATCCGCCACTAGCATACTTTCTGCAAGAGGCCCTTCCTGGTTATACAAGGGCCTCCCCAATAGGATTACATCCCATTTATGCGGTATTTCTCTTGTATGTACATAGTTGTTTTGTGTGTTGTCTCCCCCATTAGAATGTGATCTCCATGAGAATAGGGTCCATGTTTTTGCCTTTCTCTATCTCTTGCACTTAGTGTAGTATGGGCTTAATAAATGCTTATTGATTGCTTGTTAAATTAATGAATGAACTGAAAAAATTTGCTGTTAATTTGCACTATCCTAGAGAATTCTGGGCCAAATACTGGTCGATCCATTATATGGAAGAGGAGATTGAGGAACAGAGATATTAAGACCCTTATTGAAAGTCCCCAAGAAACTATACGAAGCTGGCTATCAATCAAGCAGTTTTTAGATGCTGGCACTGTACTGGGCACTGAAGATGCAAAATATAATAAATTAAACAATCCCTCTTCAAAGGAGCTTGCATTCTAATGAGACTGGATATCAATGAATAAAATAAGGAACAAATATGAAGAGAATAAAACAAATAAATGCAAAGTAGTTAAATAAAAAGCCGTTTGAGGGGGAAGGTACTAGCGATTCTGATCAGTAAAGGTTTCACATGGAAGGTGGTGCTTGAACTGAGGTGATGCTTGTGTTGTGAAGAAAGGGTTTCTATGGGACAGAGGTAAGAAGAGGGAGTGCATTGTAGACATGGGGAAGAGCCAGTGCAAAGAGACAAGAGTTTGGATGATAGGATGTGTATGAGGAACAGAGAAGGTGGTCTGGCATAGCTGGATTTCCAAGTGTGGGAGGATGGATGATGTATGACAAGGCTGTAAAGACAGATCGCCATAGAAATTAGCTTCTCTGTAATTCACAGTTGCCATTTGGGTGGCACAGTGGGTGGAGCCTGAGCCTGGAATCAAGAGGACATGAGTTAAAATGTAGCCTCAGAAACTTACTAAGTGTGTGATCCTGGGCAAGTCACTTAACCTCTGTCTCCATTTACTCAACTGTAAGGGGGGGATGATGGTAGTACCTACTTTGCATCGGATGAGATAAAGTGCTTAGCACAGTGCCTGCCACGTAGTAGGCACTTAAGAAATCATATCTTCCTTGGGCTTGAAACAATAATAAAAACTGCTCATTCACGTATGAGACTTTATATTTCTCACAACAACCTTTTGAGGTAAGTAGTTTATTATTTTAGTCCATCCTCTCTTTATAGCTGAAGAAACAAGCCCAGGGAGGTAAACCTTTTTTCAGTGGCCAGGCCATGACTAGCAGATGGGTTTTCTGATTCCAAATCTAGGTAGCTCATACTTAAATTTTGTCATGTCACTGTCTAATTTACTTCTGCTTTCTAGAAATTCAATTAAACAGACATTTATTAAAGGCCTCCTTTGTACAAGACTCTGGACAAAATCAGTTAACTTCTCAATGCCTCAGATAATTCTCTAAGCCTATAAACAGAAGAACTAATACCAACCTACGTTCGTAGAGGGAGTGTCCTCATTGGGATTTCCTTTTACTTTTGAAATCACAGGTCTAAATTTCAGGGAATTAATGAACCTGGATGTAAGGAAAAAAATACCTATTTTTTTCACTCACTTCTACCTGATACTAAGCATTTCCCTCAGTTATTTAAAAACATTTTTATGAGAGGCAATCCATAGATTCATCAGATGTCTAGAGGAGTCTCTGGCACTGTAAATGAATGAATGAATGAGTGAATGAAAGATTGAGCCCTCTACCCTAGATGGTGAGGTCCTCCAGATCTCCTTGCAGATGACACTGGTCTGATTACATCTTGCCCCAGGACATCACAACTACCTGGGAGAGATCTGTAATCATAGAAGAGTTTTAGGCTAATGATCTACAGAGGAAAAATCAAATGGATGAAATGCCTATTATTCAGACTGTGATACGTAGTTGAATGAGCAGCCCATGGAACTGGTCCATCAATATATGTATCTTGGGCAAACACTGCAGACGGACAAATAAGTGGATCCACAGTTGAGTAGGAGGAAGAAAATGCTGCGTCTGGGAATTATGGAATAACACATTCTGAAGACTCAAATTGCAACTCGTCCAAAGAATGATCGTAAATAGGTTCCAACATATTACCAATCGCAAATTGTGCAGAGGAAGCAGCATTAAACATATCAAAGAGATGTATGACTGAAAAAAGATTAATGAGGTATACACAAGTAGATAGTCTTTGTACTACATTGGCTAATGAAATAGGAGGAGACTTAGGTCCCCATCATCTTGGCTGGACTCTTTGTGGAGGATTTCTGGGAGGACATGGACAGTAATCATATAGGATTGAAATGGCTTGGATGGTTTGCAGTTTGCTTTGATGGAGGATGCACCCATGGCAATAAGACAATAGATCCATTAAAGGACAGTTCACAGGGTTTTTTTCTTTATTCCTCTCCCTGTGATAGCTTACAAAAGGATTACATGATGCTTTCAAGATGGCGTCATCTCTCATTGTGATTTTGTTGATGTGTACTTCATTTGGTCAAGCTGTTCTGCCTGACTTTGTTGTCTTAAGTGCCATTTCAACTTCTGCATCTAGCACATTGAGGACTGAGGTGTAGAGGTCTAAATCCAGTAGTTCAATTGCCACTGACCATAAAAACAGATGATTATAGAAATATGGACAAATTTATTCCACTTTGTCTTTGTTTTCCTTCTGCCAGCTCTTATCTATGAATGCTCTCTAGCTGTGGCACAGCTGGGTCTCAAGCCATGCTTTTTGTAGATTGAGTTTGCATTCTAAACATGTATTCCCCTTGGATGCTGTCTTTCTGCTTGATAATGACAGAAAGTATTCATTTACAAAAGTTATTTCGAGACTCCTTTCTCACAGATATATTATGAAAAGGAGTCTATAATTAGAAAATATAGGTATATTTTAGATCCCCCCCCAAAAAAAACCCAAAGTGTTCTCCAGATTATTTTGTTGTACTGGAAAATTTTTTTTTTTTTAATTAAAAAAAAAAAAACTCCTTGAAATCTGTTTCATTGGCTGGAGCTTGGAAATCTTTTTACCCTGAAGAGATTTTGTGCCACACATCTGCCATATTGAAATTTGACTGGGGGCAACTAGGTGGCACAGTGGATAGACCACAGGCCCTGAAGTCAGGAAGACCTGAGTTCAAATCCGGCCTCAGACCAAACACTTGACACTTACTAGCTGTGTGACCCTGGGCAAGTCACTTAACCCCAGTTGCCTAAAAAAATAAAGTAAAATCCCCAAATTCCAACAAAATCTGGCAAAGAATATATGATGTTTTTTTTAAAAAAAAAAAAAAAAAAAAAGGAAAGAAGTTTGACCTGGATTTGCAAATGGCTTTGTCAGGGAAACTGAGACCAAACACAGATTTAGCACTATCAACATGGGGTTCTTCATAAAAAAGGTCCATTCTCCATCAGCAGCTCTGCCTGGCTTCTACTCTACAGGACATGTCCTCTCCCTCTTGCTAAGATAAGCTGTTCACTTGAAATCTCATCACTGTGAAGAATAACTCAGGTTTGGATATGCTATACCTTCCCACCTCCCTCGGCTTCCTATCCACTCTGAGGGCTACAGGGTGGAGTACTAAACTCCTCCAAATGCCTTTCTTTATAGAGGGCTCACAACCTTTCTGGTAACTCCATTCTCCATAGGCTGTTCTGTTTGGCTTCCATGCCATGGAACAACATGCCCCACCTGGGCCCAGCACTCCTTAGTGCCCTCTCTTAATTTTCAGCTTCCTTTTGTCTTCCCCCCATTAGATTGTAAGTTCCTGAAGGACAGAAGCTGTCCTTTTTTCTTATTTGTATCTCTTGCATTTAGCATAGTGCCCGGCACATAGTAGAAGCTTAATAAATGTTTATTGAATTGAAAAAAGAAGGTTCACTTGACAATACTATTTTAAAACAAAACTTGGGAGGCTGTAGGGCACCAGTCATTGTTTCTGTGAATAGTTTTAATATTTTTTTCTGTACAGAAAGGAGAAAGTCTAGATAAACTATGAGCATGTTAATTTATTTTAAACAGGCAAAAGGTGGAGGATACGAAAGTGAAAGTGCCTATCCAAATGCTGAGCTGATATTCTTGGAAATTCATAATATTCATGTGATGAGAGAATCATTACGTAAATTGAAAGAAATTGTTTATCCTTCGATTGATGAGGCCAAATGGCTGTCCAACGTGGATGCAACACATTGGTTGGAATATATAAGGGTAAAAGAACTTCCATCTTAAAACTGTGCTATTAAAATTTTGTGTGACTGTAGCAAAACTATGCTGGCGTTAATCTTACGGATGAATGTATCTCTTGGATTCTCTTTTCCTCTGTTTCTATGAACAGAAATCTTGATGTGTCCTTGGGGGTGGAGGAAGAGGTGTTCAGAGGCAGTGCTTCAGAACAGGGATGTTGTCACTTAAATGACAACGTGGCTTTAGAGTGAAAAGTGACCTTACACACGTCATGTAGTCCAACATATGTTTAAAAGATTAAGAAACTGAGACTCTGAGTAGTTAATTGACTTGGATTGTAAGTAGCTGAACCAGGATTCAAGCTTTCCTTCCTCAGCACGCTTCCCAGCTCACCCAACAGACAGGCTTCTCTGGCCATTCTGAGGCCCTGGAGACACAAACTCAGAAAGGAAACGGGGCTTGTCCTCAAGGAACACAGAGGAAACAAGTATAAAGCATGCACACGCACATGTGTGCATATCTGTCCATTCCTTTTAATTTTAGATTTAAAAAAAAATCAGCTGTACAAGGACAGGACAGAAGAGACGTGGCTAGACAGCACTTGGAGTGAGAAAGATCCAAGGGTTTAATACCGAACCGAAGACTCAACAGTGGATGCCAAGAAGTGCCCTGTGATGAGGAGCATAGTGTCTCAGATCAGAATGGTAGTAGAACAGCTGCTGTTTGTGTCTCAGACTACACATCCACTGTGTTGTGTAATTCTGGGCCCCTCACTCCAAAAAGGGCAATAATAGGCCAGGACAAAAACCTTCAGAGTAGGGCAGCCAGGATGGTAAGAGGAGTCTTGACCATAACGTCTGAGGGATCCTCTCCAGCACCTTCTCTGGGCCAGACACTTGCTAGCTGCTAGGAAGACAGAAGAAACAAGCAGTGTCTGCCCTCGACAAACATTCATTTGGCTGGTTGTTTAAGGAACTAGGGGTGTTAAGCTTGGAGAAGATAGGACTGGGAGAACACAGTAAGCTACCTTCAAAGATCTGAAGACCTATCATGTAGACGAGATTTATTTTGCTTATTTCCAGAGGAAAAATCACTGAGTAATGGGCCAATAGTATAAGGAGTCAGCTTAATGCTCGATATCTTTATTAGGAAGTTCATCCATGTAGCTGATCAAAACCAAAATGGCCTGCCTTGCAGAGTAGTCAGCTGCCTTTGCTAAAGATGTTCAGATAGAGAAGTTGGCTGACTGCTTGTCAGGGATGTGGAAGGGTAGGTTCATGCATTGGGTTAAAGGTTAAACTAAATAAGATGCTAGATATTCTACTCTTTAATTAATAATGAATTCTTAGTAATTATATCTTATGACATTCTATCCTAACGTAACCATCCTAAGACAGCATGGCATTGTCAACAGTGTTGGAATTGGAGTCAGGAGAGACTTGGGTTCAGAAAGCCTCTGACACTTCAAAGCTATGTAAACATGGACAAGTTACTTTATTAGCCTCAATATTCTCGTTTGTAAAATAGGGATGTTATCTGTGCTAGCTTCATCACATTGTTGCCACTATGCTCAGATGAGAATGTATATAAAGCTCCGTGCAAACTTTAAAGTGCTGTAGGACACTGATACCAAAGTGAGACAGGCCCTACACCCTGGGCTTGCGGGCCTGGAAGCCACATGTGGCCCTCTAGGTCCTCAAGCATGACCTTTTGACTGAATCCAAACTTCACAGAACAAATCCTTTTATTAAGTCAAAGGGTCACACTTGAGGACCTAGAGGGCCACAGATTCTCCATCCCTACCCTGGGCCCTTACATTCTTTTGAGGGGTTAGAGCATGTTTAGAGATGTAGAACTGCAGGACAGAAACAATAAAAACTGGGGGGGGGGGGCGGATCAGAAGAGGCCACTTGAAGGAGTTACTACCTCAGTTGAGCCTTGAAGGGAACTATGAGTTCATAGAGACATGGAACCTGAAAAGTAGGAGCATAGAGTAGGAGAGGAGGAGTAATGTTGAATCAGTCTGGATGCCTCAGCAGGAGCCAGATTGGGAAAGGCTTTAAAGGCCAAACAGGAGCTATTTTATTCTAAAAGCAAGAGGTGACTACTGACACTTCCTTTGCAGGTGAGTATCGGAGAAGGATGAGAGGTTGAAAATTCAGAGAAAGGGGTATAATTGAGATAGAAGACAGTCAGCTCAAGGGCATAAGTAGAGAAGCAAAGAGAATCATAATAATGATGGTGGCTCACACTTAATATTTTAAGGTTTGATTTACATTACATTACCTCATTTGATCCTCAAAGTAACCCTGTGAGGGTAGGTACTATTATGCCCATTTTACAGGCAAGTATATATGCTTAGAGAGTTTGGTTGAGTGCTTTATCCAAGGTCAGACAGTGAGAAGAGCCACCTCATCCCCTGAGACAGGAGAAAAGGAGGCAAGAATAGGGATGATCAGGTGATTTAAAGTCTGGAATTAGAGAGAAAAAGGAATTCAAACAAATGAACAGTTCTTTCAGTGAAATATTAGGTGAAGTCCTATGTTTAGAAGAATTGGAGAAGGGGATGATGAAAATGGCTTGAGGAGTGAACAGAAGGTTTAGAATACCTGCATTCCTATTAAGTGGACATGAAACTTTTTTTTTTTAATTAGAAGGTGTTAAAAGTGTCTGCTTTCTTTTCTGAAGATGCTTCTTGCTGGAGCAGTAAGAATTGCTGACAAAATAGAATCTGGAAAAACTTCTGTGGTGATCCATTGCAGTGACGGCTGGGATAGAACAGCACAGCTCACATCTCTGGCTATGCTTATGTTGGACAGCTATTACCGCACCATTCAAGGATTTGAGGCCCTTGTAGAAAAAGAGTGGACGAGCTTTGGGCACAGGTTTGCATTGGTAAGCTGAGATCATTTGGTTAGTAGTTAGCTGTGATGTCATCATCTTCAATATATTTCCTGTTCTATACTAGAAATGGTGGGTTACTATAATAGAATAACACAAAATGTGAAATTCGTAGTGTTTCTGATGGGATATTTTTATACCTTCCTTCTGTGTCCCCATTGCAATTATAGCTAACTCCTAAATAAATATCCAGGAACCAGCTAGCTGTTTGTAGTTAGTTTGCACTGGGGTTTGCTTTGGAGTGAACTCAAAGGTGACATTTTGTCTTTTAGTTAAAAGCATAGTGATTGTGGGTCTCTCTCGGGTTTGTCAGTACTGTTGAGAAGAGAAGGAGCTTTTAAAAGTTCTTCAAGTAGTTACTTTGTGTTTATGTGATCAGTTGCCAATCAATGTAGATAAAGGATTTCTATGTATGTCCTTTGCAGGTGGCCAGGCTTAAAAATATTTTTTAAATCATATAAGCTTGTTGATCATATGCATATTTCTTTAATTACCTCATTTATGTGAAAGAAAATGACAAGACATCAACATCTTAGGGCACAGTAGAGAGACTGGAAAAGTCCCCAAATAAGAAAAAAGTTACTTACATTATACACCTAATATACATACATATGTAACTTGTTTTTTTTCTTTTTAAAAGAGAGTAGGCCATGGTGATGACAACCATGCAGATGCTGATAGATCTCCTATATTTCTGCAGTTTATTGATTGTGTCTGGCAAATGACAAAACAGGTAAGAGACTTTAGAAAGTATCATGCAAATATGTGTGGTCTTTTAGTTAAGATATTTTATAATGAGGTTGAAGATTAGCTATATTTTCAGTGAAGTTCCCCGGTAGAATTAAGATGAGCTTTATGTATTCATTGATGGAAAGATTGGGATTCTTTGATCCTGTTTCACTCAGTTTGATTGTATTTCAACAGAGCACTTTCTGAGAATGTGTGTTGTCCTCTCTCTCTACCTTTTCTGCTGACAGGTGGGGGACCTGCTTTATCATCATTCTTCTAGAGTCATAATTGCTTTTGACTTTGATCAATTGTTCTGTCTTTCTAAGTTGCTTTCCTTCATGGTGTTGTGATTTCTTGTGAACTATTTTCCTGGTTCTACTAACTTCACTTTGCATCGGTTCTTACAAGGCTTCCCAAGACTCCGAATTCTTCATACTCATTTAGAAGCACAACAGTCTTCCATGCCACATGCCACAATTTCCTCAGCCATTCCCCAATTGGTAGAATACCACATTGTTTTCAGTTCTTTGCTACCACAAAAAGTGCTTCTGTAAACATTTTTGTACGTATGTGTCTTTCCTTCTGTCCTTGACCTCTTTGGGGTGTATGCTCAGTAGTGATATTGCTAGATTAAAAGGCCCATATGCATTTCCAGTGACATCCCCAACCACTTTTGCACCATCAGGTTGTCTTCTAATTCTCTTTATGGCCCTGGGCTGAGAGGACCCAAGCCTCTGCTTGTACAAATACATGGAATCCCTCCACTGAATTATTGCCACAAAAACTAAAAGTAATAAAATTATGGGACAAACTCACTTATCCAGAGGTCACATTTCTGGCAACCTAATCTGTAATATGGCCCAGAACTCAGAAGTAAGCAAAGAGATCTGCCTTGGAGGAAGCAAAATCCACATTTCACATACTTCATGGGCTTTGTTTATAAGACAAATGCTTCCCTCAGAACCAGTTTACTCTTCCTTTATGTACTACGAGAACGAACTGAGTTGTTTGATTCCCAGCTTACATACTATAAATGACACATGAGAAGAGCAGCAGGAGTAAGGAGAAGGAGGAGAACCTGTGCAGGCAGGCAGGATGACAGCAACAAGAGGAGACCAAAAAAGGCCTCAATTCAGAGCATTCAGAAGCCTCAGAACTTGGAGGAGATGCTCTTTAGGGTTCCTTCTGTCTCTAGCCCTCACTCTGTCTGTTTCTCTTTTACACCCTGCCCCCCCCCATCTCCTGGCCACATCTTCATTTGTAACATGCCATTATCTGCAGCTCAAGATTAGGGTAAAGAACATCTCCATTACTGCTAGACACCAGCATGAAGACAATCCAGCTAACTGCAGATTCAGGTGTTGGAGGGTGGTCCAGGGCCAGGTTTTCCCATGACTTCTTCAGACCAGTGATGGACAAAGGACTGGACAACTCAATGTTGACTATATTGGTTTTGCGAGCATTCATTTGTCCTTAATATAGTTGCAATAAGAATGTAATTAATTTTTAAAAATCATTGCTAACTGATTTTTAAATCCAGAAGCCCTGTATGAAAATATGAAGTACCCTAAGGCTTAGTGCAGTTTTAAACTGTTAAAGTTTCTTTCAATTAAGACTGTTTTTACACTCTTAAAGCTTCAAACTTCACTAAGATTTGGGCACACTGTGGAGTAATAGGAACATCTGCTTCTTAAATTTTATATATATATTTAATTGGCTACTGAATAAATAATCTGTCAAATGAATTATGCAAGTTAAGATGCACACTAATGATAAAAACAAAATGTGATTTTCTTTCCAAGATCCTAAGCTGCAGAGCAGGAGCTTAGGATCTTGGAAGTTGTCTGGAGCCCTGAGAGATTCAGTGACCTCCCCAGGGTCACACAGCCAGGACCCTTCAGAAGGAAGGCTTGAAGCCAGCTCTTCTGACCTCAGGCCAACCCCCACCCCCCAGCCTCTCTGCCACAGTTTTTTGTTGTTGTTTTTCCAGTTAAGTGCTACAGAGTCGGGAAAACTGAACTTTACTAATGTACACAAATGCAATACAAACTTCTGACTTGGGGTTTTGTTTTATCCTTGAAAAGATAGTGAATGTTGTTGTCAGGTGCTTTCAAATAAACATCAAACACCTTTTGAGGGGAAGAGAGCAGAGCAACAATCATCAGCTGCTGGGACTCCCCCTCCCATTGTTTTAACTTAATTACTATTTCTTTCTATCACTAAAGGGTGTTTTCAGAGCGGCACAGAATTAATTACAGCTGCCTGAGTAGTCAGTAACACTGCAGGAAAGGTGCAAGCCAGGATCCCAAGGATATTGGCCCATGAAAAGGGGAAACAGCAGGACTTCACCTTCAGAGCAAGGCAACGTGGCCTCCAAAAATTACCTAAGGGACACATTTGTCCAACTGTCACTTTAGGTAGGGATGTCTGATCCTGCCACCTCTGCTGTAGCGAAATCCCAATCGGATGGTATTTGTTGTGCGTCTTATTTTGTGTGTTAACACGAGTCACAACATATTATCCCTGGAGGTCTTCCAGCAGAGGCTGGTGGACCACTTGTCTGAGATACTGTTGAGAGGATTCCTGTTGAGAAATGGGTCAGGCCAGCTGACCTCTGAGGAGCCTTTCTCCACCTGCCATGATCTTTCCGTGTCTAGGTAACACAAAAACACTGGTTGCCAGACTGTTCAAACACAGAACACCTGCTAGCTCCCAGCTGCAGGACAGTGGGGGTAGGTAAGAATTTATTCAGACCCCCATAAAGCAATAATAAAAAGCGATAGTGGCAAAAATAAATGTTGGAGGCCAATTTCAGTGTCAAGCCCATAGAGCACTGTACCAGCCCATGACTTCAAGCGACAGAGGGTTGGCCAGGTACACTTCTCATTCTGCACTATCACCACACTGACTAATACATTCCACTATTGCCTGGGAGGTTTTAGACAAAATCTCTTTGAGCTCTAGACCTTTTCTTTGTTTCAAGCTATCAGCAAGCCCTAACCTACTTTCCAATTCTTTGTTGAAATTGTCAAAAGCCAACAGAGTTAAGCAGACAAAGGGCTTTTCCTTTCTTGCCAAATAGTCACCATCTGTTCACCTTTGGTCAGATGCTTAGCTATGGCTGAGCGTTTTTAGAGTTGTGTTTTAGGTTGTGTGCTTGCAATCTAAAGCAAATGTTTCCTCCTCTTTTTAAGTTTCCTTCGGCATTTGAATTCAACGAACTCTTCTTGATTACCATCTTGGATCACCTTTACAGTTGTCTCTTTGGGACTTTTCTGTGCAACTGTGAACAGCAACGGTTAAAAGAGGTAAAGATGCCCTACTTTTATTTTGTATTTATGATGTTCATCCAGATGTTTTTCTAGTCAGGTGGCTTTAGTGGAGAGAATACAGGACTAGAAGTCAAGAGAATTGGGTTCTGCCTCTGAGTTTCTCACTAACTAGCTGTTTGACGCTGGCCAAGTGACTTTACCTTCCTTGGGCCTCAATTTCTTCATCTATAAATCAAGGGGTTGAACCAGATGACCAAAGCTATCTCTTGTATGATTTTAGGGTTTTTTGTTTCAAAGAGATTTTCTATGGCTCTTAGCAGAAAGGTACATGAGTAAATAAAATCAATGGATAATCTAAGAACTTTAGTTTAGCCAGTAGTTTAACCTTCTCTGCCATCAAACCTGTGACAGGAACTGGTGCCAGATATTGTGTAGAGTTGTATTTTAGCTCCTAGCCCTTCTGAGATCATAATCAGAGAAGTGATCTAATATGGGGGAAGGAGAGGAAAAATGGCATAGGTATTTTCATAAGCTAAATGAACAATCTTCCTGAATTAAAAGTGACTATTTTAAGTGTGGGGCTGCTAGATGGTGCTGCAGTGAATAGAGTGCCCAGCCTTGGGTCAGGAAGGCTCATCTTCCTGAGTTCAAATCTGGCCTCAGACGCTTAATAGCTGTGTGACTCTGGGTACTTCATCCTGTATGCCTCAGTTTCCTCATCAGTAAGATGAGCTGGAGAAGGAAATGGCAAACCACTGCAGTATCTCTGCCAAGAAAACCCCAAAATAGGGTCACAGAGAGTCGGACATGACTGAAAAATGACCGAACGAAAAATATCAAGTGACTTACGCGCAACAGAAAGCTTTAGATTTGAAGACAAAATATTCTGTAAGGAAAGTGAACTTTCCTACTCTGCAGAAATGTCAAATGAATCGTTTATTCATTAGCTTTAAATATCCTTGATATTCTTCCAGAGCCTTTAATGTCCAGTTCATTAATAGAAAACAAAAGAAGGATGTTATCACTGTCATTCTAGTGGTATAATGCTATATTATAGCTGATCCCTTATTGGTTACTCTTAAATCCTGTCATCTACAGAAATCATTTAAATGATGTTAAGAATAATGATTTGCAAAGCTTTTTCAGCATTTTGTATAGTGAAGTACAATAGCATCGTATAAGGTAAAAATTCCAAAGATAAAGGTATATTCAGTTATTTTCTACTGGCTTATTCTGTGGAATGTGAAAAAAGGTTTGTACAGTAAACCACAAACCACTTCATATTTCTACAAATTGACACTAGCACAGTGCCTACTAGAGAAGCAAGATGAGAGCAGAGCAATTATCAATATAAATTATGATTTAATTGTTATTTTCTTTGATTAGTCAGAGAGGGATCAGTAAGATCTGACTACATTAAAAGACTGATTATAGTGCAGTAAATACTTGTCTGTAGTCACTTAAATACTTTTATCCCTCCCTGCAACACATACACACACACACACCCTGTCATCTAATTAATAACTCCTTTTTTATTCCTTTGTGCAAAGGAAGGGAAAGCAGAAAGGGCAAGGAAAGCCAGGTATACATGAAGTCTGCCATGCAGCTTGCATCTTAAGAGAATAGGATTTCAGAAGGCTCAGAGAAAGGAGAGGTAGGTCACCATTGATGGAGTAAAGTTCTGCAGGAGAAGTCAGCCCAGAAAGAATTGGAAGGGCTCACAGGTGAACTTCCGTAGACACAAAGACAAACCATTCCCCAGTGGGGAAAGGGGGAGGACTTTTCTAAAGAGCAAGTTCACCTTGGGTTGTGTCAGCCAAGAAAACTAATGCGATCTCGGCCTCATTGAGAGGTGCCTAGGGTCTGGTAGCAGTTCGATGATATTCACACTATACCTGGTCCTGGTCAGGCCATGTTGTATGTTGTATTTGGTTCCAGATGCCACATTTTAGGAAGCTGGAAAACATCCAAAGGAGGGTAACCAGGATAGTGAAGGGCCGTAAGATTGTGCCATTGGAGAATTAGTTGAAGGGACTCTGGGGATGTTTAGCCTGGAGAACAGAAGACTTAGCAATCATGATATCTGTCTTTAAGTATTTGAAGGGCTCTTGTATGAAAGAGGGATTAAACTTGTTCTCTTTAGCCCCAGAGGACATCTAGGAGCAATGAGTGGAAGTTGCAGAGGCAGATTTAGATTTGAGGTCAGGAAAAGAGCAAACAAACAACTACCTGACAATTAGAACTATCCTGAAATCAAATGGGTCACCCTTGGGAAGCGGCAGGTTAGTACCCCCTCGTCGAAGGCCTTCAAAGACTATGTTTGATCACTTGTTGGGTATATTGCAGAGAGGAATTCTTTTTCGGGTCTGGGTTGAAGTAGATGTCTTCTAGTTGCTTTCAACTCTGCGATTCTCCAATTCTGAAAATAATAAAAGCTTGAGGGGGCTTTCATCTTTCTCTTACAACCAAAAGTGTTAGAATAACCTTGACATGCTATGCAGCAGGAGCTCCCCAGCATCATTTAGACCATAACTTTTAACCAAACCAATCAGCCATGCAGTCCATCAGCCCCTGGCAACTATCTGAGAGTCTCTCTTGACTGTGCTAACATATATGGATCTACTACAGTTAATCCTTTCATATTGAAGTTCTGATCAGAACAATTCCACAATGGTTCCCCAACTTTGTATGTGTCTGGAGCGCTGGACAAGTGGCTAAATTTCACCTTCAGACACTGGGTAAAAGCAGGCCTGGTACGCCTGTCTTGGCAGTGTGCGGGCACTAAGGAACCTGACCCTAACCATCCCTTGCTCTTCTTTCTGTAGAGAGCCGACTGCTTTGTCTGAATTCAGCATGTCCAGATTTGCCCTCTTCTACATTCCTTTGGAATTCGAGTTCTTTGAAGGCAGAGAGAGTTTTTCATTTTTGTCTTTCTGTCCCCAGTGCGTAATATAAAGCACTGCCCGTAATGGATGCTTGGTCAATGTCAAATTCAGTTTTATTCTGTTGAATTACCCTCTCCTATGAATGACTTGTCCTGCTACTGATTTTGATTTTGGATTACCTTTTTGATATCCTGTGAATTTGCCCTTTGAAATGGCAGTAGGTGGGGCGGGAACGGGCAGGGTATCACTGAACTTTGCCTAGAGGTCTATGATAAATCTTCACAGGGAAAAGTTAACTAATTTACGTTTAGGTATTGCCCTCTATTTAAATTATCATCTGATGCCTTGCACAGAAGTGACCCTGCATTCTCAGAGGCTGCATGAGCAGAACACAAGCTGTGGCAAGTCCTAATGAAATGAAGTGGACACTAATTAACTCTGTCTGAGGGTCAGGGACCTATCTAGCTATGTTTAGGGAGCCTCATCACAAGGTGGCTTGGTAACTTTTTGGTTACAGCATCTCTCAAAGATCATCTCCTGAGTTGTAGAGGAGTTGTGCACTGATATAAGGAATTTAATGATCATGTAAGTGATAGAAGTGAATGCGCCCACTACCCTTTGACCTGGTCAGGACATGTCTGGAGGAGTGTATTCAATTTTGGATGCCATATTTTAGGAAGGACCTGGATAAACTGGGAAGTTTCCGAAGAAGAGCAGTTATGAATGTGAATAGCTTCCAAATCATTGTATTGGAAGGTGAGTTGAAGCAATTGGGAATAGTTAGCCTTGAGAAGACTCCAGAGGAACATGCTGGCTATTCTCAAGTATCTGAAGGACTGTCACAGGAGAGAGGAAATTAAACTTGTTTTTCTTGGCCCCCAAAGGCAGAACTAGGAGTAAAGGGGGAATTCAATGCAGCAAACACCCTGCTGAGCATTAGGGATACTGTCGTGGCAAGACAGGGCAACAAGCATTTGTACTAGGTGGTGGGGATACAAATACAAGCAAAAAGAGAGACAGTCCCTGTCTTCAAGGAGAGGGATTATGTTCTCAAGGGGGCAGATAACACGGTAGGGAGCTAAAAAAGAGTGGGACAGTTGGAGTGTCAGAAGTCTGTAAAATCAGAGGCTGAGACAGCAGAGGAATAAAAGTAGGCCACCCTAAACCCCTCCCCAAAATGGAGGCCCCAAGAGGAATTTACCAGTGGGAGGGGAGGACTTGCCCAGCCAAGATATTCCAGGGTTAGAAGAGGGAAGATGCAGGGCAAGTCAGCAGCTGAGGTATGGTGGCAAAGTCTGGAAAGACAGAAGCAGAACCTGGAGGGGGATGAAAGTTAGTTAGCCAGCTTGGGCCCCTAATGCTTCTATGGATCTGTGACCTTATCTATGTAGGTATTCTCTCCATCAGCTACAAAGGCATCTAGGTGGCACAGTGGATAAAGTGCTGGACCCAGAGTCAGGAAGACCCGAGTTCAAATCCAACCTCAGATACGTGCTAGCTGTGCGGCCTTGGCAAGTTACTTAACCTGTCTGCCCCAGTTTCTTCATCTGTACAATAAGGCTTATAATAGCACCTATCTTCCAGGGTTGTGAGGATTAAACTTCTGTGAAGTGCTTTGCAAACCCTAAAGCACTATAAAAATGCTAGGTATTATTATTAAAGACGAAAATGAAACCATCCCTGCCCTCAAGGAGCTTAGACTCTACTGTCATAGAATCTGTAAGTGTGAGTGTAAGAGAATTTGCGGGAGAAGGCATTAACAACTCAGAGGAGATAGGAATGACTTCACAGAGCGGGTGACGTCTGGACTGAACCATGAAAGAAGACGAGGAAGGGTGAGAATGAGGGACGGCTCGTGGCGAGGTCGACTGAAATGTATAGAATGGATGAAGGGGAGTATGTGAGGCAGGATTGGAGCCTGTTGAGAGTCTTAACTGCCTGATTCAGAAGTTTGTCTTCTGATCCTCTGGGCAGTGGAAAGGCATCTGTGGTTAGTTATTTTTGGGTTGGGGTTTTTTTTTTTTGTTTTTTGGTCGCTTCAGTTTCCGAATATAGCCCCCACCCCCAAATAACAAAAAGAGTTTTAAAAACAAGCCGTTCATTAAAACTGATTAACACTTTAATCAAGTGTGAAATATATGCTGTGTTTCA